TTTTTTTCCTTTGAAAAATTTAAATAAAATGGAAAATAAAGTAAAGTTGACAAATGTGTCCTATTTTGATAGATCAATGAGTCAAAATTGTTCAATTCAAAATATCATAACAGTTTAGTGCAATTTAAATTGCAGTTCAGTTCAAGTTTTTATAGTATAGTTCAGTTCAGTTCAATGACACAAAAGAATAGTTCAGTTCAGTTCGTTTGAACTAATATTTAGTTTAGTTCAGTTCATATGAACTACTTTTAAGTTCAGTATAGTTTTTATAAGTTCAGTTCAGTTCAGTTCGTTTTACCCACCCCTACCAAAACGTGCTTGATCAATTAAGCTCAACGCGTTTATAGTTAGCATATGAGTATAACAAAACCAAATGGCCAACACACGTCTTTTCTTTTTCCTTCAATCCAAACCCTAATATGCCTCGTTGCCAACATTACTTGGCATATAGACAACGTTGCCATAGGATTCCCATGGTTATGATGAACAAATATTATTCTTAACAGTGTACTGCATATATATTCATTAACATAACACATGTCCACAAAATGAAAGCATTATATATATATATAAAATATGAGGACTGTTACATTAATAAATTTATTAAAATTAATATATATATATATATATATATAATTTCTGAAAAATTTCTGACGAAATTTTTCGTCGAAAATTTCTGACGGAATTTTCCGTCAAAAATTTCTGATGGATATTTCGGTCGAAAATTTCCGTCGATTAAATTATTTCGGATAGATTTTTTTTTCTGACGCCACTTTTTTCGAAGGATTTAAATCCATCGAAAATCTGTCGAAAAAAACAAAATCTATCGAAAATTTACCCTTTTCCATCGAAAATTAACAAAGAATATAATTTTCTTATTTTATCACGTTGATATGATAAGATAAGATAATCTCTTTTATAAAAATTAGGAAAAAATACACTGTAATTTTTTAAAAGAAGAAGAGAGAGAGGGGGGGGGGGAGAGGGGAGGGATGATTGAAATTATAAAATGATGAGTGTTTAATAGAAAGGTGTAGGTGGTTTATGAAATGGAATTTAAAAAAAGAATAAAAATAGTGATTTATGAAAGAGTAGTTATAAAGGTAAAAATAATAGAAACAAAATGTATATATAAAAAACTCATATCTTCTTTATTATCGTTAAAAATTATAAATAATGAGTAATTAATCGAATCCTGTCTTGTGTATGCAGTCGCGTTAAATATTGGGCCAGCTATCTTACCTTTTGAGATACCTCTAACGTAGCGAGGAGATTAGTCACTGCTATCGGTGGTGGATACTTCAGGGACGAACAAAAAAAAAATTAAAGATAGTAAAAAATTTGTAAAGTGAAACTCACGTGAAAGAATAGAAATAGTGATTTATAGAGGAGTAATTTTTCTTTTTTCTTTTTCCTGGTAGTGAATGGAGGAGTAGTTATTGGATATAAATTTGTTTAAACGAAAAAGTCATATCACTTTTATTACAAACAAAGATAATAATTATTATGTAATATAAGTTACATAATAATTAGAAGAATAATAATCAAAAGAATAATGAGAACAGAGATAACTTCAAATTTACATGAGTAGTTAGAGCAAAAAATAACTTCTAGTTATTTAAGAAAGAGAAAATGATGTCAAATAATAATGGAGAAAAAATAGGAATTATTGGTAGGATATAATAATGTCAAGTCAACAACAAAAAAAAACCCGGAATCTTGTTACGAAAAATATTATACTTTAAGCTAAATTATGTTTTTATTTCTTTTATCTATTTTTAAGATTTAATTTCAATTTAGTATTTTTAAATAATTTAATTTTCTAATATTTTTAAAAATATTTAATATTATTTTTTTTTTGTTTAAATTGATACTAGCGACGTTATCAAAATTAAATAGAAGAGTAACATTAAATATATTTTAAAAATTATAGAATCAAATTAAATTATTTAAAAAGAACGAGATTAAATTAAAAAATTTATAAATAAAAGGATTAAATTAAAAAAATTATTCGATATTCTTTGTCAGGATAAATTTGATTTTTTTTTACTTATTTAATATTTTTTATCATATAACTCTTTTATCTTGTAATCATTTTATTTTAATTTTAAGTACTTAATTTTTTTTGTTATTCATGATCTTGTTAAGTAAAAGAATAAATTAAATTAAATTTTTAGTTCCTCTATTTATTTTTAGGATTCAATTTAGTCTCATTATTTTTAAAAGTTATAATTTGATCTTTTAATTTAAAAAAAATGTTTAATGTTATTCTTTTCTCTAAATTGACATTAATAATGTTAATGAAATTAAGTGAAAGGAACACATTGAACATTTTTCTAAAAGTTAGAGGACCAAATTTAACATTTTAAAAATAATGAAATCAAATTAAATAGTTTAAAGTATTTAATTTGGTAATTTAATTTTTAAATGATGTTTAATGTTATCTTTCTATTAAAATTTATTAATCTGTTAATGTCAATTTGGATGAATGAATAATATTGAACATTTTAAAAAAATTAGCGAATCAAGTTGAAATATTTAAAAATAGTGAGATCAAATTGAATTTTATATATAAATAGAAGAACAAAAAAATATAATTTAACCAAAAGAATATTCAAATTTATCCAGATAATAAAATGTTATAAATTTATAATTCAATTTAATTTTATTATTTTTAAAATATTCAATTTAGTCCAACTATTTTTGAAATATTTAATTTGATTTTTTAATTTTAAAAAAAGTATTTAATATAATTATTTTATCTAATTTTATTAATATCGTTAATATCAATTTGAATAAAAAGACAATATTAAATATTTTTTAAAAATTAAAAATTAAATTCAAACTTTTAAAAATAATAAGACTAAATTAAAATTTTAAAATAAATAAATAACTGAAAATATAATTTAACTTATCCTTTTATGTGCAGGTAAAATGATGTCAAATAATAATGAAGAAAAAAATATGAATTATTGTTACGGTATAATAAGATATATAAAAAAATAGAGACTTCCTACGAAAAGGATTATCCTTATATATATATATATATATATAAACCAAAATTAGAAACCTTTATATGTAAAAATTTGTAT